TGTGACAGTCAAAGCGTCTTGCATATAGCAAGGAATCCAATATTTCATTCAAGGACAAAACACATTCTAGTTCAGTATCATTTCATTCGTGAAAGGTGGAAGAAGGGATGATAGATATGCAGAAAATACATACCAAGGACAACATAGCGAATTTCATGACGAAGACGATCAATGGTGATAAATTTACTTGGTGTAGATCCTCTTGTGGTCTGTCAGAGACGTAAGCAACATGATAGTATAAGGTAGAAAGAATAGTGTGAAGATATGATTGTTCCAATCAAATCTTCAAGTGGGAGATTGTTGAAAGTAAAAACAAAACATGGCAGCCGGCGACTAAATTCAAAAGTTGGCAGCATGATTTGTTTGAAAAGTGGAATGGGAAAATTACAAATTTAGTCCCTATACTTTAATATATTTATAAGATTAGTATTTAAGCTTCAACTATAAATACCCTAACCCATTTAGCTTCAAAACCATCCCAAATCATTCTAGTTTTCTCCCAATACTAGAGAATTTAGAGAGTTTTCTCCTTTTATCAAGAGATAATTGTTATTGTTTTCTCATTGTTAGATGGAAAAAAGTTGTAATTCTATTTTCTCATAGTGAGATTCTTCTACCGTTGCCCATGATTTTTACCCTATATTAATTAGGGGTTTTTCACGTAAAATTTGTGTTTTCTTTATCTTCATTCTTATTTTATCAAATTATCAGTTGTGATTTTGCTCTATTTGATAGCCGTATTTCGCAACAGCTAGATCCATAGGGACAATATCAAAAAGCTTCTCAAGATCCCAGGTGTTATGCGAAGTGATGAAATATCCAACCTTGGGGACACTATCCAGTAGTTGTTCTTGAACAGCAGGGTGACTACAAAGTGACTGACCAAGCCAATTCTCAGTCCAGAAAAATTTGTCGAGACCATCGTCAATATGCTTCATTAATCCTGGCGCTAAACCACGAATACCATGGATTAGGCTTTTCCATGAATGAGACCAAGAGGCATTTGATCGGGACCGATCCACGGTAAAAGAAATAGGTTCATCTTGAACATGGTATATAACTTTAAGAGCACGCACCCATAAGCAATCTATGGTATTTTCTCAAACTGATTGTAGAAGTAACAGAACCAACAAGGATAGCCCTCCCCATGGCTGAAAGGGTATTGGCTTTCCAGCTTCTTAAATGTAGCTTGAGTTGACTTTATCCATAATTTCCCCATAGGCCACTTTTAAAACACGAACATAAATCAGAGGCACTCCGATACTTCCTCAAGTCCGAAGTATGCCTCATCTTTAAGATTTGACCAAGCCTTCGCTTAATTCCCGAGGTAGAGGATGAATATAAGTAGAACTTGGACTTCTCGAAGCTCATTTTGGCAGAGGAGGTAGCATAGAATTTATTGAGAATGTCCTTAACCACATTCACCTGGTGGACATTAGCCCGCCCAAATAAGAACAAGTTATCCGAAAAAAATAAGATGTGATATTTGGGGACCATTCCTTCCAAGCTTGATCGGTTTCCATAAGTTTTGACTAACAACAATATGAATCAAGTGACCTAGACTCTCCATACAAAGAACGAACAAGTACGAAGAAATAAGATCACCTTGACGAAGACCCCGTGAGGAGCTGAAGAAATCAGTCTTTCACCATTCATAACATCGAAAGCTTTGAGCTTTGAACGCAATAAAGAAGGAGGTCTATCCACTTCTAAGGAAATCCAAATTGAGACAAAGTGTCCTCGAGGAAGTCTCACCGGATTCAGTCATAAGTTTTTTCGAGGTCAATTTTGATGGCTACCAGGCCATTCTTGCTTTTACATCGTCTAATCTTATGTATCACTTCCTGAGTAAGGAGGATATTATCAGCAGCTTGCCTACCAAAAATGATGCTCGTCTGGAGAGGATTAACGAGACTATCCAAAAGAGGTTGAAGCCTGTTGACAAGGGTTGAAGCCTGTTGACAAGAACCTTCGTAATAATTTTATAAGCGACAACACATAGACTTATGGGCTGAAATTACTTAACCGACTCTGAGGAAGAACCTTTTTGAATCAAAGCTATAAAAGTTCGGTTTAGCTCAGTAGAAAACTAGCCCATCTCTAAAACTGAATGTACTATCAAAGTAAGGGATTCTTGAAATGTGCTCCATATCTCTTGATATAAACCAGCATGTAAACCACCGTCACCGGGTACCTTTCAAGGTTTCATCATAAGGAGCGCATCTCGAACTTCCTTCTCTGAGATTGCACGTACCATGAGTCGGCCACCTTTATGAGAAATCTTTGGGCAATCAAGACTTGGAAGTGGATCACCAGAAGGATTATCTACAGAGAAGAGTGTATGGAAATAATCATAGACCATAGAGATAAGCAACTGTGGATCACTAACCCACTCGTCATCCATATTTCGAAGCATGGAGATTTTATTTATTCTCCGGCGCGTAATAGTTGAGAGATGAAAGAATGAGTATTTTTATCGCCATGTTGCAACCATTGGACACGAGATTTCTAAAACCAAAATAACTCCTCATGTTTAAGTAACTTATTGTAATCATAAATAGGATCATCTTCAAGCATTTCAATCTGATTGGAGCGAAGACGTAGTGGAATTCATTGCAGACCACCGATCCTTGCCAGCAAGTGCTTCTTTCGGCCAAAGATAATACCAAAGTGCTCGCGGTTCCATACAGCAAGATTATCCGCCAAAGTCTTGGTTCCTTCCACGAAATCATTCCATATCGAATACCAAAGATGGTCAACCGTAGCCTTGAAATCGTCGCTTCCAAGCCACATAGCTTGGAACCGGAAGGGGCGATTGACTCTAACCATAAACTGGGACGGGTGCAGTTGAATCAAAATCGGGCAATGATTGGAATGGAAGCTCGGGAGGTGAGAAACTAAAGCTTCAGAGAACCGGGCTCTTCAGTCCACGTTAGCCAAGATTCTGTCCAGCCTTGCATGGATTTTAGCATTGCTATGACGTATATTCTACCAGGTATAAGGAGGACCCTGGAAGCCAATGTCGAGTAACCCGAAATTAGACAGAATATCATGAAATAAGCGGTAACAAGTAGCCAAGGGGCGCCGTCCACCAAACTTTTCATTCATGGAAAGAACATCGTTGAAATCACCTGCTACTACCCAAGGTAGAATAATAGAGCCAACAAACTCCTCTAGATTTAGCCAGAGTCTCCTACGATTTTCCAAAGTCGGACTCGCATAAACAATAGAAAGAACAAAGGGGTCAGAGTTACCGTGAGTCACCACACTACCACTTGTTGGGATGAAAGAATCACATCCACAGAGACCTCATTATCGTTCCAGACAACCCATATGCCTCCAGCAAAACCAACAGGATCAACAATTTGCACTCTAGGAAAGCCAAGTTTCGTAGCCACACGAAGAGAAGAAATTCTAGAAATCTGAGGTTCAACCATGGCTAGAATACTAGAATTATGAATTCTGACCATATCACGAACATTATGCATAAAAGTATTATTTCCAGCACCACGACAATTCCAACTTAAAACATTCATTAACAAAGCATTTTAGGGGTCTCGAGTTAGAGATTCTCACTTGAGAGAGCATTAGCAACATCATCAATGACCATATCACCCAAGGACGACTCACCATGGGAAGTGCGAATTTCTTCCATTAAATTAACAATCACCGGTTGGGCAACACCGTCATCGAGCGGTTTTAAATGCCTTTGGTCTGACGGGTTAGGCTCAGCCATGGAAATGTTGTTTGCAGTATCCATGCATTCCAACGTAGAATTAATGTGATGTGTGGGGCCCGCACGTGAAGCATTTAAGTTATTCCCATGCAGTTATTCAGCAAGAACGTGGCTCTGACTATTTGCCACCTTAGGGATTTCCATGCGTTTCAACATAATGGGCTTGTTGCTATCCTTTGAGAGTGGAGCTTTGGTCTTCTTACCATGTGACACCAGGGCAGCTTTAGAGGTTGTCCCACCCCCAAGTTAGGGTTTAAATTATCGGTATTAGCACTACACTCCATATTTGTTTCCATCTCCATCACGGTCTTCCCCAAAGGATTGAATCTCGACCCAGATTTGGATCCTCCTTGAATTATGGATGTTCTCAACACTCCACCTTGTTTTTTGGTAACTCCCCTTGATTTCCGACGTTGTGCAATCATCCAAGGACCAAAAGCATAATCACTGGATTCTCTTGCCTCTCCCAAAGTACTTTCCTTTCTTGACTCCTTAACATCATTCTGATCACCGGTATGAACAGCCGACGCAGCTGGTTAACCATCCCCTATAGCTACGCTTCGAAAGGTAGATTCGCCTGCGTCTGTATGGAAATCGATTTTGGCAGAGCTCTTGTACCAAAAATAGAACTGGATGGAAGATGGTACTTTTGTGGAGTATGAGTGATTACCTCTGATCTATTTTAACTGTGGGAAATTTTTATGGAATTTAAGTTAAAAGAAACATACAATATAATATTTCATTAATTAAAATAAAAACACACACTCTTATGTTTGTTAATTAATAAATATTGACAATAAACATATTAAAGAGAATAAAATTTGAAAATACTATAGGTGAGGAACCAAAGTTTTGAAAAGTACGAGCGTTCAAAATTTATTTAAAGATCTAAATCACTTATTATAATATTTGTGAAATTTAATGTGACTACAAAATAAGTTTTATAAAATATATTAAAATAAATTTCGTTATATTAATTGGAAAAAATTATATAAAATTTATTATTATTACCGTGATGCTCGAATTCAAAACCTCAAAAAAAAAATAATTCTTTATTACCTAAGGCCAAGGTTCTAGTTATTATAATATTTGAATGAATAACAATAATCATTTATTACCTCAGGTGAAGGTACTCGTTTAAATTAATTTTTAAACACATATTTCTCTTTCTATCTATATATATTCTCCTTTTTCTCATTGTTTTTTATTGGCCTTTTCCCCTTTGTACTTTAGCAAGATAAAGTGACGACACTATTTTGATTTTTCCGGAGACGGTTAGATGGAGACTGTTGTAACGACAGAGGCGACTACAACGGCATCGTCCAGTTCGATACTTGATAAACCCCTCATCCAATTAACCGAAGAAGACATTTCTCAACTCACTCGCGAAGATTGTCGCAAATTCCTCAAAGAAAAAGGTGCTTTTGATTTTTCTCTCTCTTTCGGTTTTCCGCTTATGCCTTTTTTGGGCTCATTATTTTCTTTTTTCTTAACCGTATCTACAAGACCGCGAAACATGGAGGGACATTAATAAAATGTTATAACTAAACGTTGACAGGGATGCGAAGGCCGTCATGGAACAAATCGCAGGCAATTCAGCAAGTGATTTCGCTCAAGGCATTGTTGGAAAGCAACGAAGATTCCACCGCCTGTGCTCTCCGGAAAATCGTCCTTTGTCCACCTCCTCCACCAGTTCCTCCGCAAAATGTAGTGGCGCATGATGTGAGTTCACTCCTATTTCATGTATTTCCACTTTTTTTGTACTGTTTGTTTACAATTGTTATTTGGATAAGTAGATAATGATATTGGAATGCTATTTTTAGGTAGCTTCAAATTCTGGTAATTCAGCAAAAGAAACCGTCCTTGGAGAAGAAGGTCCTTTGAAAACTGCTCCGGTGGTGGAGATGAGTTGTCAGGGCAGTGAAAAGAATAAGAAGACTCTTTCTCCTAGGTTTAATTCTATTTTCTATCCTTAAGTGTACTTTGAACTGATGCTTTTATCCGGTTCCTTTGGTATTGATGGACTTGTATTTTACAGTCAATTTATTCATTTATATGTTTTACATAGATGCAATTGAATAATTGGGTTTTCAGAAGGAATAATTTTTATTGACTCTCTAAAATTTTCATTCGGCTTAGAGTAGTTCCACCTTTATGGAAAATCCTGTAGTGCTATCATCTTTGCCTTCCGTTAATCTATGGAAATCAATCTATAGAAAGTTAAATGTCGAGAGTATAATTTTGTATTTTGTGTGGATATAGTCAAGGCTAACAATAACAACTTGCTTCAACATATATGTATGTATTTGTGGATAGGCTGTGTTAATTACATTCAATTTGGATTTACAAGGTAATGCATGGTTGTATACTCTTGTGTGTATTCTTTAGTTTAGGCTCTCAATGGAAGTATTGTTTGACAGAAGTCGGTGGGAAACAAATGAGCTGGGTGGGCAGATGACACTTTTTTATTGTGGAAAGATCAATGTGTATGATGGAGTACCGCTTGCTAAGGTAATGAAGCTTCCACTTTTTGTGGATATTTACCTGGAGAACAAAGATAGCTCGTTGGCCTTCTTCCAATGCATCCAAATATGAGTTTGCAGGCACATGCAATCATGCGTCTTGCAGCGTCTCCTATTGATTTTACCCTGGACAATCTATGTAATGGAAATGCTGACCTTAGGTCCTTTCTTGGCCATGCACAAGAAGCTGAAGACAAAAATAACCTTGTTGCTTCTAATGCCTTGAACTCTCATACCATTCAAACTGGTTAGTGTCTTCAAATGGATAAATGAATTGCTTTATTTGGCCATTGCAAGGAAGCAAATTATGGTATTGAAAAAGATCTATGCTACACTTGAACTGTAGCAGACTAGCATTTCTGATTATAGAAAAGAAAACTCTGTCATTGGTTGTTTCTGATGTTTGGAGCAGATTAGCATAATCTGTTTGCACTTGAAACATATCTCTTTGTTATCTATATAGAAGTAAACTGATTTTTATCTCTTTTACGATTTCCTGTGGGCATGATTTTTGTAGATTGTATACCTTCCCTTTAAATTGTATGTCTATGAAGAGCTAGGTGCAGTGTGTAAAAATTTTGGATCTTATACTAAGCACAAAAATAGTGTATTGGCAAAGAGTGGTACATACTTGAATGCTGAGTTGTAGTTAATCCAATAGCATTACTTGGTTGACCATTTTTTTTAAATGTTAATGCTGAATTTACAAACTTGGTGATAATCTAATGATTGTGATTATTGCTTTTGCAGGAAAGATGATAGAATACCAGCAGCATTTTAGGGAAAAAGGAAACAACAGTCGTGACTCTGGTATGGCATTCCCCCTCCCCCTTCATTTGTAGTTTTATAGTGCTCTTTAATGTGTAAATGCTATCATAGCTCATGTTTGCTAGAGTATATATAACTTGAGTAGAAAATGAGCTTTGAATTTCAGTGGCTATATTTTGAAGCCCAATGCTAGGGTCTAGCCGAGCGGTCCATTATCATAATGAATTATCTCAAATGTGGAGAAATTGCCTATAAGATAAAACAGAGTTGACATTGGAGCTGCCTCTTCTTCACTTAGGGAAATTAACCCTTCTGGGCCGTTTGTGGGGAGGAGTTTTTTAATGGTGGACTTTTATCACTGCCCAACTCCAATCCAGCTATTCTAGTGGATACAGTGGTTGAAGGTCATGCTGTTTGTTCGGAAAATTCTAAAGCGGGGCAGAATCATGCGATACAATATGTTGCACATTCTGGGAAAAGGATTTCTAGGGGAAGATCGCTCTTTCGAGCTAATTCTTCTTCTACTTCAAAGAATGTGCCGTTGGAAAGGAGAAGAACTGCTTGTTTTAAAAGGGTGTATAAAAGATCTAGGGAGAGAAGACTTTGGCTAGGGAATGACCCATTTGTTTTTTCTGGAGCAGAAGAAGTTCTAGAAAGGCTTAAGGGAAAGGAATTGGATCGTAATTCTGTTCTACCAGACAGTGTAGCTGCACATTTTAATTTGGATGGTGGTGTGGAGTCTTCTTTGGAGAGGCATTCTGATGCCATTAGTTTGGTTAACTTGGGTGAAGGGTGGCTTTCAGAAGGTGTTGACTATGATTTCAATTCCGTGAAATTTTTTAATAGAGTCAAAAGAGTGTTGACTAAGGAGGCCTTGGATCAAGCTAGCATTACAACTATTTCTTCTCCAGCTTTTTTGGTCCTCTTGGAGGAAGCTTTATCTACTTGGAAGATCAGTAAGCTTTTGGGGGTGTCCTTCAAGGTTGGGAAGTCAACCTTTTTGGAAAAAATTCTTAAGTTGGAGGAAGATTTGAGGCGGGCATGACTTTCTGGTTTCTTCGGTTTTTGGTTGTCTTATTCTCTTATGATTAAAATTCAATTAGCTATTATTTCTTGGAATGTTAGGGGGTTGGGAAGAAAGGAGAAACACAAAGCTATTCAAAAGTTAGTTTTAAATAAACGTCCTATTTTTCTTTTGCTGTAAGAAACTAAAATAGAGAAGATTCAGAGACACTTTTTGAGAAGAAGTGGTTTGAATACCTTACAAGGGCTTGCAGAATCTCTAGCTGTGGGTTCTTCTGGAGGTTTATTGAGTTGTTGGGATGAGTCTTTGTTTGAAGTGGAAAATCAAGTTATTAACAGAAGGTTCATTGTTATTTTTGGGACCTTTCGTCCTTCCCAATTTAGGTGTGGTTTTATTAATGTTTATGGTCCTTCTGTTGAAGAAGAAAAAGCTAGCTTCTCTGAAGAGCTAGCTGTTTTTATTTGTGGTCAAAGTATCCCTCTTTTTGTGGGAGGTGATTTTAATGTATACCTTTCTGAAGAAGAGAAGACTGGGAGAGCCCATAATTACAATTCATTGAGGATTTTTAGTCACTTTCTTCAACAGACAGGTTTGATTGATTTACCTCTTCATGGGGGTAGGTTCACATGGTGTAACAACCAGGAATTACCCACCTTTGATGTCCATTTCCTGGAGGCGTTTCCTGATTCTTCACAGTTTTTGTTACCCAAGTCTGTTTCAGATCACAATGCCATTTTCCTCGAGAATGGCAGAGTTAACTGGGGCAAAAAACCATTCAGGCTTTTCAATTATTTGATGGATGATAGAGAGTTTAATAATTTAGTTGGTTCTGCTGTTCAAGACAGCAAGAAAAAAAACAACAGAGCTGGTATTTTTACAATCCTTAGGAAAACGAAAATGGCAATCAAGGAATGGGCGAGGAATAGACATCAATATCCAGCTGTGGAAATTGCAGATTTGGAATCGAAGATTCACTTGGCAGAGGAAAATTTACAGTTAATGCAGGATTCGAACGGTACTGTTATTCCAGCAGACTTGAACGTTATGAGAACAGAATTATGGAGGCTTTACAAAATTGAAGAACAGATATGGCTTCAAAATTCGAGATCTAAATGGGTGGTAGAAGGGGATCGTAATACAAGATTTTTTCACGCTTGTGCTTTAGTTAGGAGGAAGCGGAATTTCATGAGTGCACTTAATGTAAATGGTGAGATTACTCAAGATCCGGCTATCATCAAAGCTACTGTCAAGGACCATTTTTTTTGGAATTTTTAACACTAGGACTACATTGGAAGTTGAAGATTTCAAGCTGAATTTTTCCAGAATTTCAGTGGAGCAAAGTATGTTTTTGGAAAAAGAATTTTCAGAGGAAGAAATTTGGGATACCTTACAATCATGTGATAGCAACAAAGCTCTCGGACCTGATGGTTTAAATATGGGCTTCTTTAAGAGATTTTGGTCTGTTCTTAAGGTCGATATTCTGAAATTCTTCCATAATTTTTATTTGGGGAAAAATTGGGAGCATGGAGTAAATCATACTTTCATTACTCTTATTCCCAAGGTATATAATATTGGTGGTTTGGATGACTTTAGACCTATCAGCCTTGTAGGAGGGTTGTACAAGATCCTTTCAAAATGTCTGTCGAGGAGGTTAAGTAATTGTATTTCTGATTTGATAAGCCCTACGCAGTTTGCTTTCATTCTAGGACGTCAAATTCTGGATTGCTCTCTTATAGCTAATGAGGGAGTTGACTTTTGGAGGAAAAAAAGACTTAAAGGCTGTGTGTTTAAAGTGGACTTTAGAAAGGCTTATGATACTGTGGATTGGTCTATTCTTTTTACGGTTATGGAGAAAATGGGCTTCGACAGGAAATGGAGGAACTGGATTAGACAGTGTGTAACAACAACATCAATTTAAGTTTTGGTTAATGGGGTCCCTTCTCAAGAATTTCCTATGGCAAGAGGTCTCCGACAGGGTTGTTCTCTGTCTCCTCTTCTATTCAACTTAATTGGGGAACTCCTAAATTTACTGCTTCTTAAAGCAGTCTCTGAGGGCCTGTTTTGTGGACTGCAGATTGGGAGGAATGAGAATGCTTTTAATTTATCTCATCTGCAATTTGTAGATGACCTTATTATTTTCTGTGGGGCTTCCAAAACTCAGATTTCTAATGTTAAGAGGGTCTTAAGGGTGTTCGAAGTCATGTCTGGGCTGCAATTGAATCTTAAAAAAAGTAAGTTATTTGGTGTTAATACGACTTTAGAGGAGGTTGAGGAGTGGGCGGCGTCAATTGGGTATGCAGTGGGGAATTTTCCTTCTGACTATTTAGGCTTGCCGCTTGGTGCAACTCGGAATTCTACCTCTCTTTGGGATCTGGTTGCCTTAAAGTTTAGCAAGAAACTGGCAGGTTGGAAAGCTACCACTCTTTCATTGGCAGGGAGGTTAGTATTGATTAAATCGGTTCTTTGTTCACTCCCAACTTACTTTTTGTCTCTTTTCAAAATTCCCTCCTCGGTTAATTCTAAACTCAACTCAATTATGTCTAACTTCTTATGGGGAGGTGGGATGGAGAAAAATAAGATCCATTGGGTTAGTTGGCCCAATGTGTGCAAATCTAAGGATGAGGGGGGGTTTGGGAGTGATTGATATTAGTAATATGAACAGAGCCCTTATGGAAAGTGGTCTTGGAGGTTTGCAAATGACAAGAATGTTGTTTGGAGGAGGCTGGTATGCTCTAAATACAATCTGGATCCTTTTTCATTATTGTTTAATAGCAAAATTCCAGCTCAAGCTTCTTGGATTTGGAGGTCTGTGGTGAATTCTCATTTTAAAGAAGATTCATTTAGCTCTAAGTTTCGTAGCATGTGCAAAATTCAAGTTAGTAGTGGTCAGTTTATTCGGTTTTGGCAGGACAAATGGGCAATGGACTACCCGCTTAAAGTCTCTTTTCCGAGGCTGTTTGCTATTTCTTCAAATCAGAGTGGTAAACTAATTGAATTTGGCGAGTTTAGTTCTTTGGGATGGATTTGGAATATCCAGTTGAGAAGGAGTTTGGCAGATTGGGAATTTGAACAGTGGGCTAATATGATGACTATCATTTCTAATTTCTGTCTGTCGAGAGAATCTATCGATGGTTTGATTTGGAAAGGAGACGGGGCTGATGTTTATACTGTTAATTAATGTGTGAAATTTTGTAGCTCGCCTTCCCAAGAGAGTTCTTTTTGGAAGAAAATCTTATGGAAAGGATTGGTGCCACCAAGAGTTGAATTTTTTATGTGGCAGATTGTTCTTCAAAAGCTGCCAGGGAGGACTGAACTGGTTAAAAGAAGGGTTACGGGTATTGCAGATTTGTCTTGTCCTCTTTGTAATTTGGTTGATGAATCTTCTTCACACTTATTTTTCTCTTGTGCTGTCGTTTGGAATAAATTTGTGCAGTATTGGAGTCTTAGTTAGGTTCTTCATGAAAATACGCAAAAGTTCCTCCAAGCTTGGGAAGAACTTAATCCTAACTATACTATTTGGAAGTTAATTCCTGCTGTTGTTATTTGGACTGTTTGGAAAGTTAGAAATGATATTGTCTTCGAAAGAGGGATTTTTGACCAGACAAACCTATTCTTTCTAGCAAGAGTAAGGCTTGCATCTTGGTTCTTAGCTAAGTTTGTTGACTCGGTTGTTTCTATGGATTCTCTTATCAGTGACCCTTCCCTTGGGGATTCTTGTTTCCCACTTAACAAAACGATTGTCACTTCCATCACTTGGTTCCCCCCTCCTAAGGGTTGGGTTAAATTAAATGTGGATGCAGCTACAAGTTCTGATTAGAAGAGCAGTGGAGTTGCGGGCATTCTAAGAGATGAGGAAGGTCTTTTTTTAGGCTCTTTTATGGAAGCTACTGGTCCGGGTCCGCCTATTTTGATGGAGTTAAAGGCTGTTCAGAAGGGATTACATTTCTTTGATACAGTGAGACGAGGCATTAAGGGTCGGTTGATTATAGAAACACACTGTAAATTGGTAGTGCAAAGGGTTAAGAATGGAATTTTGTGTCCCCATCTTTTTGTCTATATTGTCAGGGATATAGCAATTAAGCTTAAAGAAGTGGAGGGTATTATTAGATGGGTTGCAAGGCCAACCAATATTGAGGCTGATGGATTGGCTAAGTCTGTTATTGGTTATTACAGTGTGTTTAGGGGTATTTTATTTTGGGTTATTAGGATTGTTTGCAAAGGTCTTTTATTGATGTTGTAATCTTTTGCATCTTATTAATGAAGTAGAAGACACTCTTTTCCTCCTTCCTCTGATGAAGGAACTCATTTTGAGTTCCTCAATCATGAAGGGGGTTTTTAGTGAGGCCTTCAATTCCTATAAAAAAAATTTATGTTTTATCTACGATGAACTTTACCTATTGACTTAGGTATATACTTGGTTATAGATAAAACCTGAAAAGAATGCCTATGACCATAGATTTGCTAGCAAGATGATGGAGGAGACTGATCCTTACTTTTTAGTCATCATTATGAAGCTCAATTCTGCAGTTCTGGAGTTAGTTCCCACTTTTTTATGCAACATAAAAGGAAGTGATCATGTTAGTCATTGTTAGTATAAATTAACTCTTGAAAGGCATATTCAAATGGTTGCTTGAAAATATCTCAGTTAGTACCTTGGGGCATTCGTGATACTCCATTGATGATTGGGGAAATAAAAGTTCTTTTTTACTGCTTGATAACATATGGTTATTGGTTCTTTATTTCCTGTTGTAACACTTGCTGATCGGTCTTAAGATATAGATGGGCAGATGAACAGAAAAGTATCATTGCAGCGACATCTTGAAAAGCGAAAAGACAGGTATCTATACCTTAGATATCATTTACTAAAGGTAGCTCTAATCTCAAGTTGCTACACCTGTCAAGCTACTACATTTCATTTTTAAGTTTTAAATATGGACTGATATACAACTTATCTGCTGAGCTATATCTTTTTCTCATGGTTTAGTGTCGAAATTAAAAAATTACGATTAAGTATCCAAAATTTACTTATGTCAGTCATGTTAATCATCGACAATAAGCTTTTAATGACATGTTTTTGACCAATCTAAAAATGTGACACATGATCAATTTCACACATTAGCAATGCCACGGCAGCATTCTAATTTTTTATTTTCAAGTTTATTTGTTTTAATTTTAATTTTATTCTTTTGAATTGGAAAATAAATACAAATAATATCATTTGGATTGAAATTTTATTTTTTTTGTGTTGAATTTTTTAAAAACTATCTTAAAAAGATGAAAAGAAGAACCTGGAATAAAAGGGAAGGGATCAGACAGAGAAAGGGGAGAGAAGGGGACAGGGTAGACCAGCGATCAGTCAGCCGCTGCAGCCGCCGTGCCCTCTATCTTCTTCACTCTCCTCTTGCACTTTTCTTCCCCAGCCTGCCTCCATTCTTGCCGACTCCTCCCCTCTCTCTCTTCCTTTCCTAGAATTTTTATTTAACCTTTTAGTCCTAATTTTTTAAATTATTATTTCAAACCAAAGAAAAAATTGCTGGCCTGGAAATGCTGTTGTGATTCACCTTGGCATATGACCATTTATCAGTTGAGCTACGTTGGCATTTATGTATGATGTTAGTCACTTGGACAACTCTTGTTGGATAGATTTAGGTACCTAACGATGAAATTTTTTCTTCAGGTGCAAAATCATGAAAGGGCTATGCTTCAACGACCAATTTGTGTATTAACCCTTTAAATTTCTTTCTGGATTATGCTTCTGTTAGGGGAAGATTTTCTAAAGGCAGGAAGCATGCAGGACAAACTTCTTCTAGCTTTGAGATGTACCTGAGCCAGCAGATAGGAACTCACCACTCAAATGGACAATCAACTCGGAGTGAAACAAGTTCTCTACCGCAATCTACAGTGCCACATGTATTTTGTAGCTCAGCTGACAACCAAGCAAAGCTTGTGAATCTTTCTGTAGATCTCAATGATGAAAGTAAGTTTTGAATTTAACTTCGATATATTTTAGTGATATAAATATGCTACTTAATTTGTATTCATACCTAGTACTTCACTGTACTCGATACAGTCATATAAGTGAGCAAATGCCTGGTTCTTGTAAAAGCTTAGATTCTGTTGGATTTCAAGTTACAACAGACCACCATAATATTGCCGACCTTGTGAAATGGTTTAGTTGCACTTCTATTTGGGGAATGCCAAGTTACGTATTTATTTGATTTGGATAATGTTTATGTCTAATTTCTCTTTAATTATTCATATAGTTTACTCTCCGGTCAGCCTTTGGAGTATGGGGTGTGGAATCATACATTATGTCTTGATTTCCCTGCAGGTGGTAAAGAACACTGAATCAAATGTGCCATTTATGTAACATCATACTAATTCATTGGGACTTAAGTAAAGAGAGATGTTCTTTAGGTGCATTACCCATAGCAGACATTGGAGAGAGGGAAAGTAACTGGAGAGAGCCTTTGACATTGCTGCATATATACATATATATGCTGTGCATGGTGTATGATGGAGTTTTCTGATCAGTTTTGTACTGTGCGATGCTGAGGAGGATCATGTTCGGGAATTTCTTGTTTCTGATGTTGAGATCTCTTCTTGGCTCTTGGATATAGAGAGTCAGTTGTAGCGGCAAGCAATGCTTCTTTTCCTTTGCTTTTAACCTTGTTATGTATGTATATTTTGTGTTAGTTACATTATCTGTATCTGCTTCTTGCTTTGAATTTCACTAGAGTTTATAACTTAGTTATGCTCGAGTTTCCAGCAGCGGCTTCGGTAAGGTATATGTGTTATCAATTGATTAAGAAATTCTTAAATATATACTACCTTATAATTACTCATACTATTTAAAAATCTAATTATATTAGTTATAATTTAAATATTTAATATTGTGTACCTTATGCAGGGCCGTGGTTGGGGCAGCGCGGACTGCGTGACCCAGCAGGGCCCCCAAAAAAGTATATATATAGTGGCGTTTTTTCAATAAACGCCACTATAGATAGACCTATTGCGACGTTTTTTCAAAAAAAATGACACTATTGTTGTGGCTTTATTGATAAAACCCATTATAGATGGATCTATCGCGGCGTTTGTCAAGAAAACGCCATTATTGTTGTCCCGAAATCGAATATATCTAGAAAATAGGGATCCTTTTATAATAATTTGTACATGACCCTCGAAAACCCTGCCACGGCCCTGACCTTATGCAAACAAATTTAAAATTATCCCATATAAATATAAAAGTTATGCAAAATATGAGATACGTTGAAGTTTAACCGAACAGAGTTATAGAGAATTTTTAATCGTGTGAAATATGATTTTTTTTAAATGTTTTAATAAATAATAATATCATTATTGTTTTGATTATTATGGATAGAAAATTATGTGATAAAACTTTTTTAAAAAGTAATATTACAATATTTAGATAAAATGAAATTGATTAACATGCATAATCTATCGATATTTAATTATTTTAATCACTTATAAAAACTTATTATAATGATAATCGGTTAGTAATTCAATTGGGAAAATATTAAAAAGTCTTGCAAATATTATAATGGTAAATCCTTCCAACTTAATTTGTTTTATTCATAAATATTAAGATTCAAATTTTTTAATTTATTGAAAGAATTTACTGTCTCATATTGTTAAATTAACTTATTTTTTATTTGAAATTTCACATATATGTTAAAAATGTTCTAGAAAGCATATTAATGTTAAATTGATTTTATATGAAGCACCTAATAGCATAAAGATCCAAGTAACATTTCTAACATGTTTTCCCATCGTCTCAATCATGGTAATTCAAAAAAAAATCTTATAACATGTCAAATCATCACTTAATGATAATTAACGTTATAATAATTATTTAATATGTTTAATCTTCTTTTTATATTTTAAAAAGAATTAAAAATTTAATAATAAAAAATGATCTAAACATAATTTAGTGTCTTCAAATATAGTTTGCATATTTCTTTGGATGTGGTTCTCAATGGTACCGAGACAGTCGTTAAACTCAAATAAAAAATAAAAGTTGAGGTTTTTATTTTCTTTACGAGATTACAAGTCGTTAGAAATCAAATCAGGGAGAAAAGAATCCATTGAGATCAAAATTCTGAAGGAAAAAAAATGGAGCAGAGAAGGGGGGAAATGTGGGCTTTGATGTGTTTTCTTCTCTTGAATTGGGTGAGTAACGTTTCCTCGCTTTCCGTGACCGTTACAGACGTCGAATGCGTTTACGAATACGTGCTTTACGAAGGCGACACCGTTTCTGGCAACTTTGTCGTCGTCGACCACGACATTTTCTGGAGCTCTGATCATCCTGGCATTGATTTCATCGTCAGTATATTTTACCGATCTCTGATTTCGATGTCCCCTTTTTTTTTCTCTCATGAAATTTGGATTGATTTGCTATATGGGTATTTGATTTGGGTCCCTTTTCCATGGCTCTCTTTTCAATTGTTTTTTTATGTTTGGGTCTCGAATTCCGATACTTGATGGTTGTTTTTTTTATTGGGATATTTGCATATTTTAATTTAATTCAATTTGGGTAAATGTTGGTTTCTTTTATGAACTTTGAGAATTCACTTTTTTTTATGTTTGGATGGTTTTGAATTTGTAAAATTGTGATCTACGGCTTGTTGGTGTTTGATTCTAATGATGTGTAGGTAATGAAATACGCTTTCAGTGTGCTTGATAGGGGCTTATTGTTTAGGTTCATTTAGGTAAAATATAAAATTTTATGTTATATGAATTTATATAATTTTAAGAATTAGAATATATCATAAAAATACTTAAATTATATGAAAAATTAAAATTTTCACAGAGCCACACCCTGTGGACTATCTAGGCGCTTGTGTTTGAGTATTATTTCCAGAATCCTTTTTTAATAAAATTGATTTTGGTATTTCTATAAAAAGATTAAAATCAGTTTGACATTGTTTTTTTAAAATTGATTTAAGATTTAATTATTTAGAATAATAGTTAAAAATTGTTTTTGAAAAGATCAAATATTTATTTAGACATTATGTTATTAAAATTTTGAGGAAACGATCGTCCATCACTAGATTTAGTATAATCCGTCTTCTTATATTTGACTGAATGTAGGTAACATCGCCTGGGGGTAATATAATTCACAGTTTGAAGGGTACAGCAGGGGACAAGTTTGAATTCAGTGCCCAACGAAGTGGAATGTACAAGTTTTGCTTTCACAACGCCTACACGACACCGGAGACCGTTGCCTTCCATATTCATATTGGCCATATCCCCTCTGAGCAAGATCTTGCTAAAGATGGTTTGTTATCTTCTTGTTTGGTGTACATTTTTATGTCTAATTTATTTGTAGGCAAAGCTGTTAATGGCTGTTAGCCTGATACTAGCATTTAAGTTGACGATTATACTCCCGTATTTGCAGATGAACACCACATACTAGTATTTTGTTTTCCCTCACATTTGATCATCCCCCCCCCCTTGATTCTCTTTGTTACAGAACATTTGAACCCAATTAATGTTAAAATTGCTAAGTTGAGAGAGGCTCTGGAGTCCGTTACAGCAGAACAAAAATACTTGAAAGCTCGTGATACTTTGCATCGTCATAGTAAGTTGAGACTCGATAATTATGGAGTACCACGTTTTTTCAATATTAATTTTCTAGCTAGCACTAGTGTTATCTGGGGATACATTATTTTTTTTAATAGTCTGAAGTGATTATAAGTTAGTATATGTTCAGAATATTTTTTAGTCTAATGACAACACATACATCCTACAAACGTAGCTGCTCGAATCCATATCCTCTAGGAGAAACAATATTCTAGGCATAGACTAGGTTTCCTTGCCAATTGGTCGTTTTGCCATTTAAATATGCTTTATGCTCATTTCTCATTGCTCTCTCTTTCTGATGCAATGACCTTCACCTGCATGAGACCTACAATATTGTCAACTTTGCCATTATCATTAACTAGATTCTTTTGAGCCACCATAGTTTCCAATTCCGACTATAAACCATGGATGTCACAAAATACACTTACTTGATGGTAAATGCCATGAAATGTGTCATTTTAGTGCATTTGCAGCATGGTAATAACGTTTTTTTTTATGTAAATGTGTGATCAACATTGTGTACAATCATGGCCAAACTTGTGTTTACATGCAACATGGTGATTGGTGCAGCAAATGAGAGCACGAGGAAGAGTGTAATAGGATACACGGTCGGAGAATACATTCTGCTAGTGGCTGCCAGCGTACTTCAAGTTTTCTATATCCGTCGTCTCTTCAGCAAATCTGTTGCATACAACCGAGTTTGAACAGGAACAATCCTGTACATGAGTTCACAAATACCTCAATCATTTTTTATTTTCTTTTTCTTTTTGTTGTTATTCAAGTACCATATTTCCACACACTTTAGCTTTGGGAAGTGATTGTTTTTTTTAACTCACTTTTTTTTATAAGCTTCAGCTATACTATTTTACTTTCAATTATAGGTACCCTGTGTCTTATTTGCAGCATTGCGTAAGTATTAAAAAGTGTACCCACTATTGTGTCGGAACTTGTTCCGGAGTCCACAAATAAAGATTGAAAGTGAGAAAGTCGAAACGTTTCAGTCGAGATTGTGTGAGGGTCGTAGAGGTTCCAATCCTTTCATTGGTTGTGTTAACTGTTAAAGGTATTTATAATGATGGTTTTAAGGAGTCGAGAAATAAGAAAACAAGGAGGGATTGATGATAAAAACACATTTTACCATAATTTTTAAAAAAACTCAAACCCTTTCAAAAACATGGAAACCCCAACAAATGGAACTTACGGATATGCGAAACAATAAGTAAACCGACAACAATTTTGAAGAGTCGATCAGCCATCAGCAGCAGCAAGAGCACCTGCAACATCGAAAACAGTTTGTCTTCTTCTCACTTTGTGGTCCCTTTTGATGGCATCAGATCTTCGAATTGGTACCATACCAACCAATTTTTCAATTAATAACATAAAGAATCGGCAACATTTAATTTTTAAATTAATAATTAAAGTTGATCAGGCCAAAAAAAAAATGTATTAGTCGTACAATTTACTCTTATTTTGTTCACCGTACTTTCAATTTTTTCTATTTTGCTCATTGAACTTTACAGATTGAATCATTTTGCTCACTATTCCGTTAATTTTTCAACGGTGTTATGACATGACACAAGCACAAAATGACGTCATTTTGAAAAACTCAAATATATATCAAAACGACGTCGTTTCTAATCATCTTCTTTCCCCATTAATGCCACCGACCACCATATCATTTTTTATTTCAGCCACCGTCGACCGTCGTTGATTGCGGTTGTTTCCCAAAATTAATGGGTCGGTTCGTCTCGATTCCTTGAGTCAAATATGATGGTTGTTTTATCGAAAAATGTTCCAAAATCCGTAAATCTCAGTTGAAACGTGTCGACTTCCTCACTTTCAATCTCCTATTTAAAGACTCCAAAACAAGTTCCGACAAAATGGAGGTCGAATTTGGACTCAATGTGTCGAGCCGAATTGACCCATAAAATTCGGGATCGAACGACTACCATCTACGACAATCGACAGTGACTGATGGTAGCATCCGGCCACCTTTTGTTTTATTTTATAATTGGATGAGCAAAATAAGAAAGATAGTTAGGTTTAATGAGAAACAATGTAATTTATCTTTTATAATTTTAATTATTTTATATTAAATAAAAAAAAATGACACGTCATCACACCATTAGAAGTACGAGTGAGCACAATGTTAAATCTGTAAATTTCAGTGAGTTTGATTCCTTTAGTTTGGTGGGTTTAATCGAATTCTAGTTTTCGTATGATATTACTCAACTTCCCGCTGAAGGGAGCTTCAAATTTTGCGTTTCTGTTGACTACTACTGCCCATGAATATTCTTCACTTAGCCAAAAGCTGATTGGGTGCAGGTGGGACGTTTGCCTTGTATTCTTTGCTCTGTAGAACTACGAACATCGGAATCCTTTCTTCAACACGTTCCGATTTAAACTTGACGTTTTGTACTTAATGAGGACGACAACCAGAAATCTAGACTGGGCAAAGTTTTCAAAAGAAGTATGGTTGCTTTTCATTGCGATGTTAGGTACATGTATGCTAATCGGTGATGGTATTCTTACTCCGGCAATATCAGGTTTGTTTCTTTATCCTCTTTTCTTAGTCGAGTCTTTTTCAAATTTTACATGACCTGCACTTGTCAGCAATGGATGGACAAAGAGCACCTTTTCCTTCTGTCTCCAAATGTAAGCATCTTAGCGTTTAATCAACAGTTTTTCGTATTGATTAATTTGTATGTGAGAATGAACGGTGATCTGCGAGAGAAGAGGAAGATGTGCGGCGGAAGAACATGGGGTTGGCGGTTGGGGAGGAAAACATATAAAAATTAGAACTTTGCCCTCAACTACTTTGAATTTATAAAATAATCCCTAATTAATATTTTATTAAAATTTAAGAGTTAATTTATTTTAAAAAAATCAAAAATCAAAATAAAAATTAAATTCTTTTACTAAAGTGTCACGTCATCAGACCATCTTAATTATAATGAAATAAAAGTGACCGTGTATTATTTTTTTTTTAACGAGTGAATACATTTATAAAAATGAAAAAAAGTAACCAATTCTGTAAGTTACCCATATTGAAAACAGTCGGATACAAGACAAAAAGGGCATGAGAGGATGCCATATAAGATCTAAAAAGCTACTTCTTCCAGTATTCTCCTTCTACAGCCATCACCAATTTAGAGTGCATCAAAGGAAGCATCAGGAATCCCTTTTCTTGGTATTTGTTTCAATTTTTTCAAAGGAAGAAATGCTAGCGGTTTTCGACAAATCGGTTGCCAAGAGCCCAGATGCTCTTAATTCTCCTGATAACCATCAGGAACTTTCTGCTCTCAAGAATGGCTTCTTAGCTAACCACTTTGCCACTCTTTATCCTGGTTCTGTCACCATCAGTCTTGGCTCTTCTGGCGTTATGGCTTATTCTCTTGAAAAACAGAACCCACTTCTCCCCAGGTATAACTGTTCTCTCTCCTCTTTTAATGATTTATATTCATGCTGAAGATTTCATTCATGTCTTCTCAGTGGGTTTTGCGATCTAATCCCGTTCTTTCCTGGGTTTTGCTTCTTTGCTTTATTGTTTTATCGGGTAGCGAGAATTTGTATAAAGTTTGGGCTTTCTCTCTGCTTTTCTGTTTATTTTTGTTTCTTGTGATGGTGGTGTTTTTGTATGGTTCATAGTCATAATGTGATACGAAAGATCTTATGTGGTATTGACGTGAAGAAATCCAAGCTTTTGATTCGTATATCTTTTTATGTGATACGAAAGATCTTATGCTTGGACAGGGAGAGATAGCAGGATTTTATATTAGGGTTCGTTAACTAATTAGTAACTTATTTTAGAAATTTAAGGGTCCAAAAAAAAAGAATTATAACGTGCGGAATTATATTATCAGTAGAAAATACAAAATTTCTAGGAGATTTTGTTGGTTGCTTTGTGACTCCTGAGAATTGACATTTGTAAACGCACTTGCTCTTTTCACTGTTTGCTTTCACAAAGGGGGGAAATGAAATATACAAGGAAATGAATAATTTACTTTAATGGTTGTTTGCTGGTCATTTATGAGTATCTTTCTAGGTTTTTGCTTGTCCTTTGCTTTCTGTAATTATTTGAGGTAGAATTCTACCTGTGATCCATTCACCAATGTGGTATTCCTGGAAAGTTATGTGGATTGTTTTATGATAAGTTGTGATGTAATTTACTAGCTTCAAATGTTTTTGTTCTTTTTGTCATCTTTTTCAAAGGCTTATAAGGCCTGGTTTGTATTTATATATAGATGAATTGTTTTATCATGGGATGTAGGCAACGAGTATGGTCCAAAATTAAAGATCTAATGTAATGATTTTGAGAGAGAGCATTTTAAATGATTCAGCATTAGTAAGTTTTATGTTCTTTTGCATCAGATTTGATCGTTTTATCGACACAGTTTCTGCTTTTTCAAACTGGATATGTTTTGGGATTCTGAATAATTTGTTTAGTTCATATAAACACAATTTCCATGAGAAGCCAGACCATACTTATTAGATTACATGTTTCCAGACTGTTTGTGGTTGTGGATGACATATTTTGCTTGTTTCAAGGCCACATTGAGAACATTGCTGTTCTTAAGCAACAATATGGCTTGAACAAAACAGCAAATGAGGGGATCATTGTAATCGAAGCTTACCGAACCCTCAGAGACAGAGGTCCTTACCCTCCTGACCAGGTGATAAGAGATATCCAGGGGAAGTTTGCTTTCATTATCTATGATAGCTCTTCAAAAGCCACATTTATAGCTTCTGTAAGTTGACCTAATTTTGTCAGCCAATATAATGGATATTTGATTCAATCGTTTTGTTCTTCTATATGATTGAAATTTTTGCCCTTGTCTTGTGCAGGATGCTGATGGAAGTGTACCTTTCTTCTGGGGAATCGATGCTGAAGGCAACCTTGTTCTTGCGGATGATGTGAAGACTGTCAAGAAGGGCTGTGGGAAGTCTTTTGCTCCATTCCCGAAAGGTCATAATTTTTTATCAATCAGCAAGTCATTTGACAAGCTTAGGATCCCTTGACTTCCATTCTATGTTAACGTGTCTAGATGAATTTGCGTAGAAATAAATACATTTCAATGGATGAATTTGCATGATATATATACATGTTTTCACATCTGTTTCAACCCTATATTGTTTTGTCTATCATAATTTTTATTTCATTATCTTTCAAACATGTTTGAAATTTGGGTTGATCTATCTATTTCCTTATCTCCACGCGTGTTTTAGTTTGTTGGTTCTAATTACGATCAGTAGCAAAATTTAGGAACACAATGACAACTTCATTGCTGATGATGTTTCGAACTTCTGCCATTTCTATTTCAGGGTGCTTCTTCACTTCTTCTGGAGGGTTAAAGAGCTATGAACACCCCCTCAACGAGTTGAAGGCAATGCCTCGGGTGGACAGTTCCGGTCAAGTTTGTGGCGCAACTTTCAGTGTGGACGTGGATGCGAAGAAGGAATCATCTGGAATGAAAAAAATTGGAAGTGCTGCAAACTGGTCCACAAACTACTGAGCTTTAGAAATGGTATCATGTTTGAATTTGTGGGTTCCTATTTTCAAACCAAGACAACAGTTTTATGCAGTTTGCTTACACCATTAACACTGAGCTTGACATGCACCATTACATGAACTAATATTTCTATCATAAATGCTTCTAATCTTTTTTTTAATAGTTAAGGTGATTATAAGATAGTATCTTTTCATAATCTTTCTTGATTATTGACAAAGCACATACCCCGCGGACATAATTGTTTAGACTCAGAATTTTTAGGGATAACAACACTTCATTTAATCATTGAGAGTGCTCGATGGTTTCAGATGCTTCTAATCTCTTTGTTTCAAATGGGGTAGTTTATAGAAAGCAAATACTAACAATTTTGAAGCTTCAAGCCCAATGGAAATCACTATAATTGCATATGACTCGTGAGTTGAAATTGTTATACTCACAACATTCAGGGTCCTGGAAAGAAAAATCTGGGTGTGGTGTTCTTAATTGAAACTAAACTCGGCTCACCAGAGATGGATGGAGTTAGAATGGTTTGCTTTGTGGTATACAATTTATCAAAGTTTAATTATTGCCGTTGTAATATGAATGTATTATGGTGTAGATTTTCAATGTCCTTAAATTTGAGGAATATAATGATAAATTTATTATTATAATTTATTTTAAAGGAATATAAAGGATTTTAGATTAGATTTATGAAATTCGAGATATTTTTTGGTGAAACGAATATCATATATGCGACAAAGAGGTCAAAAAGAGAGAATTGAAAATTTTAGGATCTAAAAATTGGCAGTGACAATTAACAAGATGACACAAATTGATGGTGATTACGATAGTGGTGAGCAACGACCGTAATGAAGGACTTTGAATGAATTTAATAGTTATATTGATATTTTATCTAAATTTTAAAGATTAAATTAATATTTTATCTAAAGTTCATAATCAAATTAGTATTCTATTTAAAATTTGGGAATCAAGTTAAAATATAATTATTTTTATATCACACTATCAAATTAACGAAAGTTGATTTATGGACTAAAATAAGAAAAATAGAAAACAAAAAGTGACTAGACATAATATTTTCAAAATCATAACCAAAATAAAACAGACCAGAAAATAAAAGGTATCAAGATGACATGGCATTTTAAATTAAATATTTCCTATTTATTTAACTTTTTAACTTTATAATTTTCACATGTTTTGTTTCTTTAATTTCACTTCTTCTTTGTTCTGTTAGGTTTTGTCACTAAATGTTGAAGCTATGATTATGAAGGACAAAAATGTGAATCTAGAGGCACTGATTGACCAACTTGTTATTCTTGCATCATCTTTTGTTAAATTATTTCTTCCATCACTTCATATGTTTGTATCATTTTCGTCGCGGTAAACAAATCAGACGATTTCCATTAATAAGAGCAACTTCGACAGACCTTTTTTTCGTTCCCTTAAGCTATCTTTTATTTTTTATTTAAAAAAAGTATTAATCTAAAGATTCAAATACCATCTTCAATAAAATCTAAAGCCCTAAAACAGCCATAAATTTATAACCGATTTCTAAAATGATTGTGTCAAAGATCTCAGTTTTGCCGTTAACAAACTCCACTGCATGTCGTTTTAGGTGTTTTATGCTTGAACATACCTACAATATCAACAGTTCAAGAAACTGGGGGGAATTATTGGATCAATCAAACATAGGTTAAGGGTTGGAAATAGAAAAGAAGGTGATGTGATTTCAACGAGAAAGGGACCATAGGGGCAAAATTTATGAGATGGGGTGTTGGGGAAAAAAAATCTGATATGAGGTTGTGGAAAAACTATTTTTTTTGTTGTTGTTGAAGTAGAGTAAAATAAATAGCGATGGGAAAGACAGTCGGACCAATGTTTTGGTCAGCCATGATAGTAGCTTTCATGGCAACAGAGTCACATATAGTTGATGGTGGGCACGTAGGGATGATAATTTAACCGAATTCGATGGGTTTTGACTCGACCCAATTCGATAGGGTTATATTTTAAAAAAAATTAGGGTTCATGTCATATTTTTTAACAGTGAGGTTGGGTCGAGTTTGGGTGAAGGGTGAAGAAAACTCTGACCCTACACAATCCGAGGATAATAATGTAATTTCCTTAAAAAATTTATCACTTTTTTTTAAATTAAATCCTAATTTTAAATCGGGTCTGATCGAATGTATACTCTAAAAATTCAAGTCGGTCGGAGTCAGGTAGAGGATATATATTTTTCAAGTCGAATTGGCTGGAGGATATTAAATTTTCGGGTTGAGTCAGGTTAACCGAAATCCCGACCCATTGCCATCCCTATGTGCACATGTCCACTCTAAAATTTGAATTTTCTTATATTATTTTCTTATTTTATTGATGATATCCATCCTAAAATTTTATTTGTGCTTACCTTATTAAAAAAATGTGTTGTTAACATATGTATGTCCCTTCTAAAAAAAATATTTATGGATCCTCACTACATGACAAAGATAGAGACCAACCATGGTATTTCGACTGGATATATCTGCAGTAGAGAGAAAGGTGCTAACCATAATGCTCCAATAAAGAACATAAGACATTGTGTCGTCACTCTATCTTTATAAAGACACCGATTGGTTTGCATGTCTCTAATTGATACTGTAAGAAAGATACCATTTGAAAAATAATGTGGGGTTGCATTAACTGAGAAATTCTATAACACCACAACCCATACTCGACCCAAATACGAGTCAGAGATGTCACATTGACTTTTAAAAACGATACTCTTATAAAAATATCAAAACATTTGAACTCATTTTAAGAAAATACCACAATATTCTATTAAATTATGTTTTGTATAAAATTTCGAGTCAAAAATGTATTTATGAACAGTAAAATACGGTATGAACAGTGCCGTATGAACAGTGATAAACAATATATACTACAGTACCACGAATGTTAAAATTTTCCAGATTCAAAGAGGGGAACTGATTCCCCTGCTACAGTACTTCCTTAAAATACGTATAAATTTATAAAAATCTGAGATTTCATCCGTATAAAATTTCTATTTACATATACACATTCCAAACATTATAAAATTCAATCATATGATTTTACAAAACCGATTAAAACATATCGGATTCAAATCTTTTATATTACATACCAACTAAATTCTATATAACCAAATATATGTAATTCAACTACATTTCTGATCTGATCTTCGGTAAGGAGAACTGGCATGTCTTGTTCCTCTTTACTTCTCTTTTCGCTTTCAAAACCTATGTGTGAAATAACCACACGCTAAATCGATGACTTAGTGAGGCATATAAAACATATAATATAACTATATATCATTTCATATAAACAAAAGGCATACATGCACATATACCATCATATATCATTTCATAAAGTAATACACTTAATATCATATAATTCACGTAATACAATTCATATAACTAAAAACATATATCCTTGCATATAACCAATACATAAATCCTGTAATTTATTCCATGTAACAATTCACATGTACATATCACATTCAGTATATTTATTTGATTTCTTTATTAGCCCATTACACTGTTAAGAGCTGAAGGTGTGTGAGTACATTGAGGTTGTGCACTAATGTTGTCACCACAACTCGTATAAATTCCCACTAGGGGCACTGAATATTTATCCCGAAGGACCACTATGTCCCGAAGGACCACTATGTCCCGAAGGACCACTGTATATCCCTCGACTCTTGGCATGCCAACTATACCACTAGCTCTCATATCACATAACATGGGCATTATCATTTATATCATTTCACATATTCACATGTACATTTCACTTTTCATATGATTTCATAATCATATTTCACTTAGCTTACAACACTTTTATTGTGTTCATATAACATGTAAATCATTGTCATATCTTGTTCTCATATGCTTCACATACATCACATATATCACATTCACCTTTCCATTTATTTACATAAGCCACATAGCATTTACAAGAACATATCCACTCATATAATCAAGCATACATATATTTTCATGTCATTCACTTTATTCTCTATATCATTATAATCAATACTCCATACACTATAACTAATGGAAATAGACTTATCACAAGTCCAATTCCTTATAATCCTATAAACTAAAATGCACTCATAAGAATCATATCAATCATATAACATTTTTAGGAGTCATCTCTTACCATAGTAACTCCGTCACTAGCTCATCGCAAGCCAATGTTTTTCAATAGCACAAGTACAATTAAATTGCACTCACCTTAACCTTGCTTTGATTCGATTCTAATCCTTTGATTATTCCGAAACTTGTTTAGGCTCAATATCTACATAAATATAACATTTCAAAACAATTATCAGAAGCCTAAACATTACACTTGATGTTAATAACTTAAGTCGGTTTAATGAACCAAAATTACATTTTTCATTTAGGGGGAATTGATACCCCCTCATGGGGGAATCTGTACCCCCTACACAATCTGGAATTTTCGTTCAAGCCCAGAAAAATCACTGTTCATGCCCGAAAATTCACTATATCAACTTAAATTCTTCATGTTTCATTCCCTTTCATATTCTTAACTCAAATATACATACTTAAACATATTTTTATCCATTTATTTCATCTTAAACCTCCAAATTCTATTATCCATATAGAAATCAATAATCATACCAAATTTTACATGTTATCCAAACTTAATTCTAACACTTCTATCTTCTTATTCTCATAGATGACAAGTCAAATTCAACTTAAAATTCAATTTTAAACTCTATTTTAAGATTTCATTCAAGAACTCAAAATCTTTAATCTCTCATATACCTTTCATCTTGTTGTTTTAGAACAAATTAAGCTTTCCTTAAGCTTAATTATCATCTAATGATCAAAACCCAACCTTTAATTCAACAAATAACCAACAAAATAGAAAACTCTTGCCTTTGCCTAGTCTCCACGGTTGAAGAAGAATATGAAATGTTTTCATCTTCCCACGTTTTTATCTCCTATTAAAAGGGATAAAAATATCTTTCCTTATTAAATGACCATTTTGCCCTTTAATTCTTTGGATAATTACTAAAAACTTTCAGGAAATATCCCTAAATAAATCATTGAACTATTTAACTATTTTACTTTGACCAACAAATTCTGAAATATTTCAGTTTGGTCA